TTTTCGCTCACTTTCGCTCTTCCCCTATCAAAAGTCGATGGCAGCTACTTTGCTTAGAATATTATTATTAATGCATTTAGTTGATTAGTTTATCCGACTTTGTATCAAGCATAAATGGGTATAATTGTGTAACGACAGCTCTTCTGTCGTAACAATCATTCTCGAAATAGAAATATGAAGGACTCTATCTCCAGTAATGAGCCGCGCAGGTGCGGGGTTCGCCGTGCCTGGGACCTCATAGTCACCGAGCGTTCAGTCTGTCCTGATGCTGGCATGCAGTAATTTCACAACCTCTTTCTCGAGATAACTGGCATTCCCAATAAGGAGGATTTTCTCTGACTAGCAGGTGCTTTTCGTCAGCTTACCTTGTTAACTCACGTTTTGAGCCCTTCATGGATATCTACCCATTTTATTTGCCTTGTTTTTCCCATGCAAGAATATGCTTAATCCATTTAAAATAAGGTGATCAAGTTTCCGACGTGTAGATTCTCAGAGCATTAATTTGGTTCTTTGTTACACTAGAACCCAGTGATGTCCCTCCTTCATTGCATTACTGTACGCAGTACGTTGGAAGGGTTTATTTCTTCGTGTCATGAGTTCCCTAGTTGTAAAATGATGTACTTGGTGGCTACTGCTGAAGAAGTTGCTGCTGCTTAGGCATTACTAAATGGTCATTAGTGTGCTGCAGACCGAAAAGCAATAAACTTTAATTTTTTCATTGACAGAAGCTTAACCATGGACCCAACCTCAATTATATCCACCTAATTATTATCAACGCCTAACACGTAGCTTGGCATTTGGTGGCTGTTTTTTGCTGCAATCCCGGAACGATTAAGCTACACTTTTTTCATCCACCTCTCCTGATTGGTGCATGGAGGTTGGACCGCACTCTAATCGCTCTCATCGCTAGTCAAAAGACGTACGAATCAGGAGTGAAAATTGCAAACAGGGACCGTGACTAAGCCGCCGCCGAATGGGTTGGTGGGTGGGCCACTTAGGTTTGAATAATCTGTGATCTCCAAGTATGGCTCGTTGCTGATTCATCCACGCTAATAGATCAGTCGATGGATGAGAACATCTGCTAAGCAATCATTTCCTTTTAATTATCTTGCCAAATAATGAACTAATGGGTGAGACCCAAAGCCACAACAAAAATCTCACTCATGGATGGGGAGAGCTGGATGAATGAAAAGACACTAATGGGAATAAGCGGCTT